GTTTGAGAGAGGCGGGGCATAGAGGACCTACAATAATGTACAGTATTTGAAAAATAATGTGTTTTTTGAACATTAAAGCATGTCAACATATTCTGTTACACCAAATACACAAAATAATGATCTTTAAAATAGCATCATATGACCCCTTTAAGAAAATAAATACTAAATTTTATTTATTAAATTTTATTAAATTATTATTTATTTTTATCAAATAAAATAGTTCAAAAAAATTAATGAATAACTTGTTGCGATAACAATGTGCATTTGTGTGCATGAATGTATCTATCAAATTTCACCTTTTCCTCGGCCTCAAAGTCATGGTTGTCCTGGGCCATTTCTTCACTGGGAAGCTTGTGGACCAGCTTTCTGCACAGCAGCCACACGGACAGACTCACCATGAACATCCCAATATCCGGGAGGAAAACTCGGACACCATTGCCTGCATCTGCACCAATAACACTACAAACACGGACAGCACATTAATTAAAGTGCATGATTCATACATCTTTCTTTAACATATTTTTTTTAAAGATTTGCAGACGTCCAGTATTCACATGAACCTGTTACAGGTAATCGTGACTGTAACAAAGAAACTAGCATCGCCAGAATTCCCGTTAAACCGCACGCCATCTGTGAGGGCGGAAAACATTTGCGAGAAGCATTTTCCAGTTTGAGCTTCGCACACGTCTGTTGTGTGCCATTTTATATGCTTCCCCACCCAGTTCAATAAAATCGGACTTGCACCATATTAAAAGAGTATAAATATTTCTCATAAAACACATACTGGGTTCTTCTGAAACTCACACAAGAGTGAAATTAAGTCCTGAAGTGCTTAGGCGGTGTCGGGAGGATTTAGTCAAAACAGGTCTGAGTGAAGGTTTTTTGTTGATCATTCAGACAATGAAAAGCAGTTATTCATGCTATTATGAAAGGAAACGCGATGTATGGATGACTTATGTGCTTATACAATATATAATGTGCAAAGGTGTAAAGAGTACCTAAAAACCATACTTGAGTAAAAGCACCTTATCAATGAAAATTACTCCACTACACGTTGCAAGTCACCAATCCCAAAACAACTTGAGTAAAAGTCTTAGAGTATCTGATTTTAACAGTACTTAAGTATTTTACTTATACTAAATATAGGCTCAAAGATGCACTAGTCAAAGAGACATGCCAGTGAAAAACTATAACGTTGTGGAGAAGCCGTGGAAAACAGGCAGAGGCAAGGATCTATGTGCTGGTATTTCATGGAAAAACTAGAACAAACAATAAGGCAAAAACCAAAGGGAACAAAGAACAGAATGACTGGCAAACAGACAACCATTACATTCAACAACTCACAAGGAACTAAAGAAACACTAGGGCTATATAAACACAGGGGGTTAACAAGCTTAACAAGATGAGACACACCTGGGGAGACTAATCAAGGGGAACCAATGAACAAACGGACTACAAACTAGATAGATAGACTGACTACAAAAGGAAGTGACATAAAAGTCCAGGGCAAGGCACAGAGAGCATGAAACAAAAACAAGAAAGAGTTGATTTGTGAGGAGAGCAATCGCGTTTATTTTCTAAAACCAAAATAAAATTGAACACCTCAAAATTACAAAACAAAACAAACAAACAATATCTTTCAAAAAGGTCTCTTCAGTATAATGGATAAATAAAATAATAGATGCAGTACTTTCAGTGACCTGTAATAGGCAGAATCACGTCGTTTGTAGCAGAAATAAACTGCTGCAGAAAAAGCTAGGTCCATGCAAAATGTAATGTGTAACTGCAACACTCTTTTCAAATGTTTCTCCGGTCAAAAACTATATGTACCACAAGATGAGGAAAATTAAGTTAGCATGACTCGATGTTCGAGTAAACAGCTGATTTTACTGTATCTGCACTAAACTAAACAAAAGTCACTATTGGGTTTTAAGTATTCGGTTTACAACAAATGAAAAGTCTAGAATGTATTTTAGCTCTAGCACTTCCTTTTTCTTTGCCCTAAGTGTGTTTACTTTATTTAAATGCAGATTGTAAACAAAACTAAACCGCGAGGCATCTCTGCCTCGTTTGCTATAATGTCTGCCATAATTTCCATATTGGTGGGTCAGGATTTAAAAATAAAATAACAATAAAACAACAGCGTTAAGAGCTCTTTTGGCATCATTTTAATTTCCATTTTGGTGCATCTGCCTGCAGGATCTCTCCTCCACTAAATTATGTTCCCTACATCAGCTCTTAACAATGACTTTCAGACCCCAAACATCCACATCACAATTATTCCTGCATCAACTCCTTTCGCTCATGTGATTCATTTCTCTCCCATGATTCCCTGCCGGTCGGTGGAGCAGCGGGCCGTTATGTCACGGATAAATGCCTTCGCTCAACTAACAGGTCTAGATAGGAGTATAAACAGTTTACAGCCAAACTTCCTGCCACTTATGGTGAATCGAGCCCTCCGACCAGCACTGCTTGGAAAAAGGTGCAGGTGGAGATTCCCGTACTCAGGAAACCGCACTTAATAGAATCACAGTCAGGCCAGCGCACACAAACATCAAGGTAGGCCTTGAAAAATCGGGCTGTCAACAGTGGGTCAGGTTTAATTGGGTTTAGTGTTCATCAGGGGAAGCGCTGGTTTGGAGCCGTGCTGCTGGACGGCAGACAGCTGGCCGCAGCGTAAGTGGAGAGTAATGTTATCTGTCTCTGTTTGCTGAAGTACTTCAAACTGAAAACACATCCCTCTTATGTGTGCAAGATATTACAAGCTTCTAAGTGATTTTGTGTGTTGGGAATAAACATAAGGAAAACCATTTCCTTACAGTATCATACTAGAAAACAATACTAGTTGCACTGGGCTGTACTACTATTCCAAAGGTTAATATCACTAAATGGTTATATACTTTTTCTATTATTATTTTGACAGATAATGTTAGTTTTTTCAACAAAAACAGACTATTGTTACTATTACTTGAGTTATTATTACTTGTAATAAAATAAAATATAATAAACTAAAATGCATTTTTTTCATTTATATACTACTACTACTACTACTAATAATAATAATAACAACTATAAATAACAATTATATATTAATGTTATTCATTATTATTATTCATACTATTCATTTATTATTTTCAGCTAGTTGCCAACATTTCTCATTTTCATTTATGTAACTTGTGTAAAAATAACTCAAACTGAAATACAAATGTGTAAAACTATATAGACATATTTAAATTCAGCGCACAGGACCAGTCGTCCTGTAACTAAATATCTCACACTTTCAATGGTCCTCTGTCCTTCATGAACCCAAACCATGGGCTCCCAAAAGTCTGTCTGGAACATGGTTTAATTTCACCATTATATATAAACTTTTTTTCTTTTTTCTTTTTTCTTTTTTTTCGTTTTGCAATATCTGACTGAAAGGAGGAAAAGAACAACCTTGGGAAATTATCACTCTTTCTTTCAAAGCAAATCGATGAGATTAAGCAGATGAGATGTTCAGAATAGCATACTGTATACTCATAGCATATAGCTTACTATTTCTGCAGTATTTAGTATGTACTTTGGGCACAGTGTGTACAAATGTTTAGGGTCAGTAAGACTGTTTTTGTGTGTTTATAATGTTAAAAAATATTTCTATTTCAAATAAACGCTGTTCTATTGAAATTTCTATTCATCAAAGAATTACAAAAAAATAAAATGCATCAAGTTTTCCACAAAAATATGAAGCAGCACAACTGTTTTCAACACTGATAATAGTCAGAAATGTATCTTGAGCAGCAAATCAGCATATCAGAATGATTTCTGAAGATCATGTGACACTGAAGACAGGAGTAATGATGCTGAAAATTCAGCTTTGATCACAGAAATAAATTACATTTTACTATATATTCAAATAGAAAGCAGTTATGTTGAATTGTAATAATAATATTTCAAAATATTACCGTTTTGACTGTATTTGTGATCAAATAAATGCAGCCTTGGTGAGCAGAAGAGTTTTATTTTGAAAACATTAAAAAATCTTACTGACTGCACTTTTGAACTGAAGAAAATATGAACCACACATATGCCTGTCATCATTACATAATGTAGTTTGACATTCTTTCTAAAATAGCATTTAGTATATAGTATATACTGCACAGTATTTAGTATGCTACTCCATTCCCAACACAGTCAATTACACAAAACCGCTCTCAAAGTTCTGGTAGCAACAGTACTTTCTCTTCTCCTCCTCAAAGCTTTCCATAAAAACTCAATCAATAATCGGGGATGATTTTGCAGTGCTTGTTGCAAGTTTAGTGTCTTTCTATAAAGAAGCAGTTGTAAAAGACAGGCCAAAAGATTTCACGCAGTAAAAACATTTCCAATTAAAAACCTTTCATATTCACGATAGCAATATGTGAGAGTTTGATAAACAGGCATGAAATGAAACCTTCATAAAATGTTTCTAAGGCAGTTTATAGGCTTGTGATTAAAATAAGCGCTTGGACTCACCTCTCGAAACCAATCTGTCGTATTGACTTCTCCCACACTGAACCTGGTAAATAGAAAAGATAAAGCTTTATAATATAGAATTTTCCAGCACACTGACTTTGAAAGCGCAGGGTCATTCATAAACCAATGACGTGAGCCAAGATGCTTTGCTTTGTCAAACTGCAGGGTCACTGTGGGTCATTTCTGAGTTATTTGAGGAAGACTGAATTAATGTGTCTAGAGATGATTAATGTGATGAGATTACAAGTAATCTTTAAAAAGAGCAGGCTGTTCTATTTAAAGAGAAGCACTTTTCTACCTTCACTTGCCCTTTGCTCTTTGCTGTTGTATAAATAAAAATATATTAAATATTACAATAAAAATTATTTGACCTAATTAAAAAATAAAACTAGAAATAAGAAAAGAAATAATTAAAATAATATAATTAAATAATACAAATAAAAAATAACTGATACCAATATAGTCATTTTGATATACTTAACACATTTTTTAACATTAGTGTGTTATATCTGTATTTTATCTGTATTTAAAGGGGTCATATGATGCGATTTCATTTTTTCCTTTCTCTTTGGAGTGTTACAAGCTCTTGGTGCATAAAGAAGATCTGTAAATTTGCAAAGACTAAAGTCTCAAATCCAAAGAGATATTCTTTATAAAGTTCTTTTTAGCAGCATCATATGACCCCTTTAAAGAAAACTGATCAGAATACTGATATTTGATTTTTTTTTTTTTCAGTAATAACCAGCAGACAGTGTTGATGGATAACAGTGCAGATCCAATATACAAGCAGAGGTTCCTATTTAAATTGGGGGGGAAAAGCTGTGATATTATGTCTTTATCTAATATCAACCATTTTTTAAATTCAACCTATTTAAAAAAATGAAAATAATAATGAAAAAGAAATCATTAAAAAATTTAAAATTAAAAATTAAAACTGCAACAATATAAATAAAAGAATCTAATACATAAATGAATACATAAACGATAACTGATACCAATATACTGTATAGTCATATTGATACAAGTTTTAACATTAGTGCTATATCTATATTTTATCTGTATTTAAAGAGAACCGCTTTTCTATGTTCAATTACCCTTTGCTCTTTTCTGTTTACTTTTATTTAGCTGATTGTTTAGCTGATTCTTTATTATTTAGCTGATTTGAAGATGTATAAAAAATAAAAACATTCCAATATTATATTCACTGTAAAGCACGGCCTATTGCTTTCATGTCTGACATCCGTTAGAGCTGCCGAAGGAAAATGAGCTCAACTTCAGACGTGTCTGTATTATTTACAGTAATCACAAATCAATACGTCAGACTGTGTTCTTAGTAAATTAGGAGAGTAATTAGGTATTGAATAGCCTTTGAGACTGAAGTCTCTTACAGACAGACTCACTGCCTGGATTCAACCCAACATTACACTGACTGGATGTTTGTCTAATGACACCAATCTAATGTCGACAACTGGGAGAATGTGCAGATGCAAATATTATGAATATACATATTTTAGAAAAAAAGGAAGACACCACACATCACTCATCTCTCCAAGACAAATGGATTCATTTCATCCCATAATGGAGGAGTGAAACCCGTCAAATACCACCATCAAAATTCAACAACTCCATTCATTCTAAACGCCATTATTACCATCATTATGACTAACACTCCATGATGTCTTATCAGAGTTTTTGGCATTTAGTCATTGCATTTAGTACTCATTCATTAGATACTAGTACCTATTAAACAGACACTAGCGATTAGTAACTATTCTGTTGTTACTAGTAACTAGTGTTGCTTTCGTCAACGAAAATTATGACTAAATATCGTCGTCAACGAACCTTTATGGCGTGACGAAAACGAGACGAGACGCAACGTAAATGCTGCTCATGTGACGATGACTATAATTAAATGTATAATGCAATATTGTTGACGAATAAAAACGAGACTAAATGTGGTTTACAAAATAAAAACTATGCTAAAATATCTCTTCATTTTCGTTGACCGAAACGAAATGTTATAACGTTATTTCGTCTCGTTTAGTCGCATTATTATTATTATTTTGCAGTATTTCTCACTTTAGGGGCTGCATCAGGTCGCACTGCGCATGACGCAGGCGACGCCACTTCCTCAAGCCCCACTCGCGGCATTATTTAGAAGACGACAACAAACATAGTTAAGTCTGACACAGAGAAAGGGACCGATGGCCGGCCAGCCGGGGTTCGTCTTTATTTAAATTTATGTGTGTGTACTTCTAACATGTTTGGTTGGTAAAATAAATGTTGTAAATTCAAATCAGAGCGTCTTCCGTGTCTGGAATGGATGTATTCTTGAGTCTATAAGGTAACAATAATATAATAAGATAACCTTGTTTGAAATGGGTTTGGCTAAAAGAAAATTTTGGTTTCGTCTATACTACTAGGTACTTATACTATATTGACTGGGTTAAATAGAATTGCATTTCTAAAAAGAGACTAAAATACAATTTCATTGACTAAAACTAGACTAAATGTCATCAGTTTTCGTCGACTAAAACTAGACGAAAATAGTCATGGATAATTCTGACTAAAATAAGACTAAAATGCTCAGACTTTTAGTTGACTGAAACTTGACTAGACTAAAAAGAGTATGAACGTGACTAAAACTAATAAAAACTAAAATGACAGCTTCACACAAAGACTAGACTAAAACTAAAATTAAAACAGGCCACCAAAAACAACACTACTAGTAACGCATTTTACATTTTTGTAAACTAGTATGTATTCCAATAGTGACTAGTATCTTTTTAAATAGTACTTGTAAGTATTCATTAGATACAAGTTCTTATTTATTAAATACGTTTACTTTTGATTAGATAGTAGATTCTAGTAGTTATTCATTAGGCACTGGAACTTATTTATTAGACACTAGTATCTGTTGTAATGACTACTCGTAACAAATCTTATTATACTAGTCAAAAGTTAGTAGTAGCCAAAGAATAAGCACTAGTAGCTAAAGGATAAGTACTAGTACTTAATGGAATAGATAACAAAATAAGTACTTGCATGAAAATAGATACTAGTACATTTAAGAATTAAAGTTAAAACGGCAAGGGTAGAGATGCTAGTTAGACACATTGAAGTTCACCCAAATGTGATATTGTGATAAAAGAAATCTAATATGATTGAGTTTAATATTTTAACAAGTATATGAAGATATATGATGCACACGTACTGAGTTCAAAAGTCACATCAGGACAGAACAGAAAGAAAAGGGTCTAAGTAAACCAAAATGTCTAATCATCAGCTCTGAAAAGGGTTATAAAAGAAAGTTGAACGCTTTTGTCATTCCTAGAATCGAAACATTAAACAGTAAATAGTCTCCGGTCTCAGCAGGACGTGAGTAATGTTTTCATTGTTCAGATGAGAACAATTGGAGGGCAAAGACAAATCTAAATGGCACATTTCCCATAACGCACGGTTATTTAAAGTTAAAGTAGACAGACACAACATACTGCTGTTCCTGTGTAAGATGAGAAACCCTGCTCATGTGATAAGGTGCAATAAAAAAAAAATAAAGAAAATAAAAAAATAAAAAAATAAGCAGGAAATAGAAATATTTATTTAAAAAAATATTTAAAGGTCCCATATTGTACACCTTTCTGGAGTTTTATTTTAGGTTTTGATGTCCTTAAGAATATATATTTGCGGTATAAGTACCAAAAACCATCTCAATATATTTTTACAGATCCTCTCTCATGAGCTCTGCTGAGAACAGGTCGATTTTGGCCTGTCTAATTAATATTCATGAGCCTCTCTTCTGATTGGCCAGTTGTTTTCTGAGTGACGCACGGCCAGGCCAACCACAGCTAACTAGGGTCAGCCGATGTCGGCGGTGACTGTGTAGTTCTGACGTCAACTTTTTACGGAAGTCACAACGGTTCGTGAAAAATAGCTAGAACTTTATGCAGGCTGTGTGCATTTTACTGTGGACTGACTGTTTTGAAACTTATATGGTAGTTAAATAGCCCCTAGACCTCAGTAATCGTGAAAAAAGCCAGGAAATTTCAGTTTTGACAATATGGGACCTTTAATAATAATAATAATAAAATAATAAAATGAATTTTTAAAAATGTTTTGAGCCAGCACTTTTGACTAATTCTAATTTGATAATGGTCTTTTTTTTGTGCTGGTTTTGAGGTTATAAATGTCTACACCTCTGAGAAAAATGTTGTCAATTAAATGAAATGAAATATAAAATTAAAAAATGCATCAAGAAAATGTCAAAATAAAATAAATTATAAAATAAAATGCAAAAATAAATAATAAAAAAATAAAATAAAGTTTGACAAATTGCAATTTGATAATGGTCATTTTTAGCTGGTTTTGAGGTTATAAATGTCAACATCTCAATCTAATGTTGGTTGTCAGAGAAAAATATTGTCACTTTGTCTCATTCATTGGTCCATAACTCAGGGCTGGCAGTAAAATGATAAAAATAAGCATGGTCAGCAGAAAGCGGTCAGTGGAGCGATGCAGAGATCGCTAACACCTCTGAGGTCAGTGACCCTGAGCAAGACTCGGTCCTCCTCTGAACACTCAAGAGCTCTTCATGGTCTTTATTCATAGTCAGAAAGACACAAAGACTAAGAAGGATTACGTTTCTTCTAATGATTTGTGAGTGACCTGCTTTGCTATCAAACAGTGAGTTCATGCAGCATAAAGGGCCGTTTCACAGCCACACAAATGTACATAAAACTTCATTAAACACTTATTGCCTGGGGTTTCTATGTAAATATACAATTAGATTAAAATTATAATAAAATAAAAATAGAAACAAAATGAATTTAAAATGATGGGAAAAACATTATAAAAGAACAATTTCTAAAACAAAAACGATGAAATATAAATATTAAATATAGAAATTGATTAAAAATAATTAAAGAAAAAAATAAAATAGAAACAAAAATTTTAATGAAAATTCTAACAAAAATGAAATAAAAATATAAAAAATTAAATTAGATTAAAAATAATAAAATAAAAATACATGAAAAAATACAATATATAAAATAAAAATTTATAAAACAAAAAGTATAAAATAAAATAAAAATAAATAAAAAGCTACAACTTTTGCCCTGCTAGTAGTTCCATAATTCTGCATGCAAAACTTTCCAGTCACCATGGCGCGTGCATGAACTTATGACAGTCTTGATGAACTCTTTTTGAATACTCTGTATATTCCTTTTTGAAATATGGAAGTATAACTTACAATTGAATTCAGAATTGATAGAGTTTGCAGCCAGCAAACTGTGGATGGTGATTTGATAGACGATGTGGATGAAGAGGAAGGTCATGCTGCAGAAGCATAAAGACTTCAGCAAGTGCCCCGTGTAGCCTGGAAGAGAAAAAGCAACAGGAACAAGCATCAAGGGTCAGTAATGATTTGTGTCTGACCTGGTGATGAACCACATTATCACAACTCATAGGGGATTTGCTGATACGACAATAATGAGTTCAAAGAAAGGCATTACACACATTATTGTGCCAATAATAGTAAAACCTGTATTAAATGTGTTAAATAAAGTTAATAGTCTTTCCTCCCTGTGACCCAACGAGAAGCTGCAACAGTTTACATTGAATTAAATGCCAGATATACATTATACCAATAATATAAAAATCAGAAAAAAAAGATTGTATACATATTGCAGGACTTTTAATTATAAACAAGCACGAAATACAGTGGGACTCTTATTTTGAAAAGTCTATGCTAATTCCAGCTGCTCATTTCAAAATATGAGGGAAATGAAAGTTCTCTTACAATCATCTACAACATATTACAATATAAACACAGTAATGTAAACCATAAATCATCAACAGTAGATGATAAGCAATTGCTTAAGCATAAATGCGCAGTACCCACTGATTGCAAAAAAACACAAGACTGCAAAAAATGTTTCATGTTTTGACTTTGATTTATTTAAATTAATCATTGCCTTCTGAAGTTTAATAATCCCATTAGGCTGTATTGCAATTCATGTGTTTACATTCCTAAACTTAAAGGCAGGGTATGTGATTTTTCAAAAACACTTTAGAAAACTGATTCGGGCTGAATAGCAAAACAAACTTGTAGCCAATCAGCAATAAGGGGCGTGTCTACTCGTGATGTGGAGGGGAGCGCGTTCAGTGCATGGGACGGACATTAGCCGAGCCGAGCGACAGAAAGATAGAGATGGCGGATAAAAAAACAAAAGAGGAAAACGTCTGCGGAACGATAAGGCAAAGAAGTAGGACCCGTGTAAATATTGGATCAGCTTTCCAGCGCTGGAGAGAACTCAAGGAGCGGAGGCCTGCGATCGGACGCCGAGGTTGCTTTGTTTCTTCTCAATAGGTGAGTAACACAGTGTCTACAACAGCTAAAGTCTGCCTACACCGGACGCGATCAAACGACCGTTGAAAACCATTTGAAATGTGTGTCAGCACGGCATAAATTGAACCCGGCAGCAGTTTTCTGTCGGGATTTGTTGCGCCGCGCCGCTCACGTCAGTAGACACGGTGTAACATTGGTTTTGCTTTGTTTCACAAAACTAATCGTTGCCTGGGTTGCGTACGTATATGTGGGGCGGAGCTATCAAAATAGGGGCAAGACCCTTTTGGGGTAGGGGCGTGTTTGTTTTGGTGATTTCAAATATCAACATTGGCTACCAGAAATCACTTACTCTGCCTTTAACACCTTTTGTTATGCAATTTAAGACTTTTTTTTCAACTGAATTAAAAGCATTAAGACATTTTTTATAAGGACTCGCAGGGATGCAATATTCAAAATGTATCACACCGGGGTTTCTAAAATGTTGAACAAACAAGTTTCAAGCCAAAGAAGCAACATTAAAAGCTCTTTATTTAAGATATAACTAATGAAAATCACAATAAAGACACAAATGTGCGCATGTTTAATACTTCAAGTGTGTTTTTGTGCTATTTGAGATGACGCTAATGGAGTTTGTGTTGTTAATTTCCCTCAGCACAAGCATTCATTGTTGTTCTTACAAGACGAACAACAGCTAATCGTGAGAGCCTCTTTGTTTTAGCACTCTCATATAGCATAACACCAAGGTCAAATGAAGTATTAAAGTATTTTTAGAGTGTTTTTCTCTACCAACGATCGATATTTTCCGATGTGGTGCAGGCCATCATATGTAATGCTTCCTAATGGAGATCATTTTAGCCACAAGTGAGACATAATCGTAAGAAACCAGACGGTGAGAAGCGCTGCCAGATGCTAACTGCTAGATCTGTCCTGGGCCGGGGATATGGCTTGTCCTGATTTACTCTATAAAACACAGTGTGCAAAACAATTTGAGCTAATTTCCCCCTAACAGGAGGAAGGGGTTGTTAGTGCGTAGTTTAGTGAGCACCGCGGGTGCAGATCTCTGCCAAAACACTCATTCACGTCACATATTTCATCCCTATCAAATAAAAACCATGCATGAGGAGGACAACGAGATGAAAAGCACTAACTGCATCTCTCCTGACCGCCGTATCGATATTTTCCGATGTGGTGCAGGCCATCATATGTAATGCTTCCTAATGGAGATCATTTTAGCCACAAGTGAGACATAATCGTAAGAAACCAGACGGTGAGAAGCGCTGCCAGATGCTAACTGCTAGATCTGTCCTGGGCCGGGGATATGACTTGTCCTGATTTACTCTATAAAACACAGTGTGCAAAACAATTTGAGCTAATTTCCACCTAACAGGAGGAAGGGGTTGTTAGTGCGTAGTTTAGTGAGCACCGCGGGTGCAGATCTCTGCCAAAACACTCATTCACGTCACATATTTCATCCCTATCAAATAAAAACCATGCATGAGGAGGACAACGAGATGAAAAGCACTAACTGCATCTCTCCTGACCGCCGTAAACTTTCTATTGACTGTGCAGTTTTTGCCACCTTTGCCTGTTTACATGGCCAAAAACTAATGTTTGTAGTGTAAATCAGTGAGATCTTTTTAACAGTATAGCAGATACTTACATAAAATTAATAAATATCAGTCGTCACTCTATATCTCCAATAATATTAGTAAGATGATATTTAAATGCTTTGTTTGATCATCAAATCATAATGCAATGCAATCCAATGATGATTGAGAGATGAACAAATAAACGCTCCTCAAAAGTTTGATGATCATATTTGAGACTCACATTTGAACAGAATTTTATGGTTAATCAAGTAAAGCCAAGCTGTATTAGTCCAGTAAGTGTTCATCTTGAAATATTACTAACAATATCAAAGATATTCTTACATTTACTTTATAAAAAAAAAACTGAGCTGTGAGATTTGCAACACATGAATTCATCTTCTCCTCCCGAAAGACATTAAAGGGATTGTTCACTCAAAAATGAAAATTACCCCATCATTTACTCTGAAACCATCCTAGGTGTATATGACTTTCTTCTTTCAGACGAATACAATCTGAGTTATATTAACAAAATGTCCTGGCTCTTCCAAGCTTTATAATGCCAGTGAATGGGGGTCCAGATTTTGAAGCCCAAAAAAGTGCATCCATCCATCATAAGAAGTGCTCCAAACGGGTTCGGGGGGTTAATAGAGGTCATTCTGAAGTGAAGCGATGCCTTTGTGTAAAAAAAAATATCCATATTTACAACTTTATAAACCGTAATCTCTAGCTTCCTTCAAGAGCATTTGGGGGCATGTAGAAATATCAAGATCATTGCTAAAAGCATCTGTCAAATTTACAAAAAAATTATCTATATCAGGACTAATTATCCCCCTTATCTATATTCCCAGCGCATGCAATGGTGTACGCTTAAAGGGTTAGTTAACCCCAAAATGAAAATTCTGTCCTTAATTACTCACCCTCATGTCGTTCCAAACCCGTAAGACCTTCGTTCATCTTCGGAACACAATTTAAGATATTTTTGACGAAATCTGAGAGCTCTCAGACCCTGCATAGACAGCAACGCAACTGTAATGTTCCCAGGTCCAGAAACATAGTAAGGACATCGTTAAAACAGTCCATGTGAAATCAGTGGCTCAACTTCAGTTTTGCGAAGCTACGAGAATACTTTTTGAGCACAAAGAAAACAAAAATAACAATTTATTAACAATTCTTCTTGAAAAAGAAGGAGAAAGCGCGCGCATGAACGTAATATGCGTAATCAGCGTTGTTTATGCTTAGGGGAAAGCGTGTGTATGCATTGTGATACATTGTGAGACGTAACTCATGGGAGAAGATTTGTTGAAATAATTGTTATTTTTGTTTTCTTTGCGCTCAAAAAGTATTCTCTTAGCTTCGCAAAACTGAAGTTGAGCCACTGATGTCACATGGACTGTTTTACCAATGTCCTTACTATGTTTCTGGACCTGGGAACATTACAGTTGCGTTGCTGTCTATGCAGGGTCTGAGAGCTCTCACATTTCATCAAAAATATCTTCATTTGTGTTCCGAAGATGAACGAAGGTCTTACGGGTTTGGAACGACATGAGGGTGAGTAATTAATGACAGAATTTTCATTTTTGGGTGAACTACCCCTTTAACAGAACCTGACAGAAGACATTGATTCACCCCAGTGTGTTAGATAACATTACAGAAAAATACGGTCAATATCACACAGCTTCAGACATCACAAATAAAACACTTACCAAAACCAACAACACTTCGATTCCTTCTCCTTTTACTAAAACAAACACTTTCAAGCTTAATACACCTGAGGTTCTTGAGAAACATTATAGAAATCACATAACGGGGTCATTTTCTCAGATTCCTATAACTGCATCTTATTCAAGGTATATATTACACAGCATTTATTATAATGGGTTTATGTGACTGTCAGGATTCTGGACTGTCTGTCGTGTTTTACCTCTGTCTTAGTTCCTGTTTTCCTTTTTTGGTCATGTTTCCTGTTCTTGTTTAGTGATTGATGATTCCGCTCACCTGTGTTTGTAATTATCCTGTGTTTATAAGTTCCTGTCTGTTCCTTAGCTCTTCGTCGGGTCTACTTGTTGTGAACGTCTTCCTTGTGCTCTGTGTCTCCCTGTTGGATTATTAAAGACTCTCGTTTTGTGAATTCTCCACGTCTCCTCGTTTCCGTGCTCCAGCGTATTGTGACAGAAGACCCGACCAAAATAGTTGCCTCCGTGTGTTCCCTCCGTTTTTGTTGCCATTTTTCCTCAGAGTTTTGTTTCCGTTGTGTCCATGGATCCCCTCCTTCGTCCTGAAAAGCTCCTCCTCCTGCTGGAGCAGGGGGAGAGATCGCTTGAGGGCCACACCAGACTGTTCCCGGTGCTTGCCAACCTCTCCAGCTACCCGGACGACGCGCTCTGTGCGTTCTATGACGGCAGTTTAAACTCCGCGTACAGAGCGCCGTCGTCCGAGGAAGGCCCTCTAGCGAATTTCGCCGCCTTTGTGGAGTGGACACTGAGATCTATTTCTCGCCAGTGTCCACACCCGACCTACTGCCCAGCTCACCATCTGCCCGATGCGCGGAGCGCATGCCCGAGCCCACCGCTGACGGAGAGCCAGAGCCCGCCGCGACCGACAGGACCAGAATGAGACCAGTTTTGTCTGGTTCTGTCTGTTGTCAGTACAGAAGTGCATGTGTGAATCTGCATGTTTGCACGCACCTCTTTTTCCACCTTTTTGTATGTTGTATGTTGACTGAAACACAGCAGATGATTATGATGCACAGACACCTGCAGGCATTTCTGTTTTCCAATTGCATAACCCAAAAAGGTTGCAAAACACTAGCATCCCATTATATTGTTTCTTTATAGTCTACGTTTCCAACATTGCATAATCGCATCTGCATATTACCACAAATAGGATCCAAATGAGCGTCTGATAAATCTGTATGAACTGTGAAGCCCAGAATGCATTGCTCTTACTATGAGCACAGGTCTGTTGACTATTGATGAGTGTAAGTGGACCACTTAAAAATGTCCTGTCCTCTTCCTTTTTCATCTTATTCCATGAAAACCTTCTCTTATACATAATTAACAATCAGAAAACAAACATCCGAACACACCTCCAGAAATGTGCTGCCATGAACAGAGCAGAAATGGACCAGACGTTCAGAAAACAACAGCATTATTCACTCTAATGTATATTAGATCATATTTAAAATGCACTACTGTTCAAAAGTTTTGGAGCCAATAAGATTTTTTTAAAGAAATTAAAAAAAAATTTCAGCAAAGATGCATTAAATTGATCAAAAGTGACAGCAAAGACATTTATAATGTCACAAAAGTTACTATTTCAAATAAATGCTGTTCTTTTGAACTTTCTATTCATCAAAGAATTCTGAAAAATAAAAATGTATCAGAATTTTTTTTTTCAGCAAATATGCATTAAATTGATCAAAAGTGACAGCAAAGACATTTATAATGTCACAAAAGTTACTATTTCAAATAAATGCTGTTCTTTTGAACTTTCTATTCATCAAAGAATTCTGAAAAATAAAAATGTATCAAGGTTTCCACAAAAATATGAAGCAGCCCAACTGTTTTCAACACTGATAATAATCAGAAATGTTTCTTGAGCAGCAAATCAGCATATTAGAATGATTTCTGAAGATCATGTGACACTGAAGACTGGAGTAATGATGCTGAAAATTCAGCTGCGCATCACAGAAATAAATTACATTTTAAAAGACATTCTAACAGAAAACAGTCATTTTTAATTGTATTCATATTTCAAATTTTTTCTGTTTTTACTGTATTTTTAATCAAATAAATGCAGCCTTGGCGAGCAGAAGAGCCTTCTTTCACTATGCTGATTTGTTTCTAACAATTTACGCATAAAATTAGCATATTATATTGTGACATTTAAATAACGGTTTGATCTTTGACATCATATTTAAAAGTTTCTCTCACAGTCTTTCATTTATATTGGCCTCATCAAACTCAATAGCTTAACTCTATTATGGGAATAAAAATCACACTGATCAGTTTCTCTAATGCTTAAACCTTCCTCGTCTCAGCAGATTAACGTCCTCATCAATTATTCAGCATGATCAACACACCTTCATTGCATCCTAAATCTTGATCTTCCTCTAAGCGCATGAGTAAGTTCTTCCTCTGAACAAAAGCCACAAATCACCATCTATAGGGTCTCCTGACTGTAGTTGTTTCAATTAATGTTTTGTTAACGCTTCTGCTCCATTGGATTTTCTGCATGAGGCACTAACGGCGGTTTCAGGAGACGGATGCGCTTCCTGCATCGCATTTGTGACACTTAGGGAAGAGTTAGTGCTGGTGCAGTGATGATTCTCACCTTGCATGGTTATACCGGAGGGTTCGGGGAACAGCGGGATGAGGAGGAGGTACAGGAGGTAGATGAAGGACAGTCCATTGTACCTGAACAGACATGCTGCAGAGAGAAGATATCAACATGTTAGAGTAATCTAGAGTTAAAACAAAACACAAAACACAAAACAAAACAAAACAAAACAAAACAAAACAAAAAAACATGATGTTGTACTGCATCTCTCATTTTTAAAAACATAAAGCCTGAAACAATGCTCACACAGATGAAAATATGGTAAATAAATAACAGGTATGTAACCATAATATGACACTTTGGCAAATAAAATAAAATAAAATAACATTTATTTAGATTATATTATATGTTAATGAATTATTTACATTATACTGTATATATTATGTTATATTATTGTAAATGAATGAATGAATGAATTATTTAATAAATATAGAAATAAATAAGTATTTACGATATATTATTTTTACTATGTAAATAAATGTGTATTATTTATATTATATTATTTGTAATTAAATAAATAAATATTATTTATTATTTATAGGTGAATGAATGAATGAATGAATGAATGAAAATTTACATTTATTATATGCAAATGAATGAATAAATAAATATTTAAATGATTTGTAAATTAATGAATGAATATTACTTTCTTTATATTGTTTATATTAAATTATTTGTAAATAATATTATTTACATTATATTTATGAGTGAGTGAGTGAGTGAGTGAATGAATTAATGAAAATTTACATTTATATTATATGCAAATGAATGAATAAATGTTTACATTATTTGTAAATCAATTAATATTATTTACATTATATAGTTTATATTATATTACATTATCTGTAAATAAGTAAATAAATATTATTTACATTATAAGTCAATGAATGAAAGATTGTTTGCATTATATATAAATGAATGACTGAATGAATGAATATTTGCAAAAAATATTATTATTATATTACAATATTAGTACGTAAATAAATAAGTGGGGTTTCTGCCTTTTTTAAAATACATATATTATTAACATTTCATGTTTTAATATGAAGATGAACACATCTGAGAGAATCCATTTAAGTAAGATCATGTCAAATCACAGGGTCTCGTTTACAGGCTTCAAATGAATGTCCTCGTAGACCTACTCTCTCACACACACACACACACACGTGTGGAGAGTTTCCTGAAGTTTCCAGAATATCTGCTCTGATTCTCTCCTTCCATGAACTTTATTCATCACTGGACAGAAAGATGCTCCGGAAGCTAAATAAAGCACTGTGTCATGACACGGCTCGAGTTTAACATCTAGACGAGAGTAAGTGCATTTGAAAATCTTGTTGTTAATCTTGCACGTTTGCCATTTTATGAGCTGATGCTGTGAATATCAAACGCACTTATTTCACTACCAAACAGGGAGCTCAGCAGCAGACCAGACAGAAATTACATCCTATACTCTGGAAAAGTCAAAAGAAAACTCTCAGAAGACGCCAATGACGACAAAAATATGATTACATCACCATCTACAAACTGCTAAAATACCAATTATACTGTTTAAGATTGTTAAACAGCCAATATATCTCTATTCCCTACTATACAAACAACATTTGTGACAGAAAAAGCAAGAATGACAATAAAAGGGTGAAGTAAAAGTGCAGATATCACAGCCACAGGGACTTTCCACTGCAGTTAAAGAGTCTTAAATATTGAACCATATTGGCAAACTTGAGCACTATATGGAAAGGTGATATTAAAATGAAAATCAAAAACCAGTACAAACCCAGACAGACATTATAATGCATCATTTTATTGTGATCTCAATATGTTCACATAAAAATGATGTTTTGTCTAAAGACTCAGAGTATAGTGCTGAATATGGATGGGAATCGTAAGGAATTTAATGATTCTGGTCCAGGTTACGATTCCAGTGCCTTAATGATTCCATTAACGAGTGTTTTAGTACTTCTGTGGAAGCACCAAATACTGTATTCCAACTATAACATGCCATACTTATGGAAACCTATTATTACAGTCAGAAGCACAAACTATTAATAGCAATAAAACTGTATTAAGTACAATTTACTACATTAACTGCATGAACAGAATGCAATGCAAGTCATTCTCGATAAAAACATTTATAAAAAAAAAAACATAATATGTAAACAGAAAAAAGTAAGCAGTCATTATTAAAACAAAACAAAACAAAAAAAAAATTATTTGAAAACTAATTTGCACACTTAGACA